GGCTTTATACATCGTGATATTCAGTGGTGTGTGGGTAATGGCTGCAATATCTCCTTTTGACATCATAAATGGTTGGGGGACTGCCCATTGAAATTAAGTTTTCCTTTGATTTATCATTTGACAACTAATCAAGAAGCCACTATTGCCAAGCTTTTTTTCGCAAGGGTAGTAGTTTGAGTGGAATATTACTCTACTTTATAATAGGGTTTATGATTTGGTTTTATCTCAGTTTGCTGATCTTCATATACTATTAACATATGTTTATATCCTGCAAAATGCTTCTAATGAGGTAGTTTGGGAGATTGACAAAAATGGGATTTCTTTAGTTAAATCTATGTATCATTTACTCTACCATGATAGGGTGCGATGGTCTATATTTGAAATAGCTATCTTGTGGAAATAACCCTGACCTCTCAAAGTGCAAGGTTTTCTTTGGTTAGCAGTTCAAAAAAGAGTTCTCACGGTTGATAATCTGATTAAGAGAGAAAATTTTATCGAATATACGTCTCATGTGCAAGGAAGACGGAGAGGCTGGTGATCATCTCTTTCTCCATTGTCCGTTTACCAGTCGCATTTGGAGGTGGTTTTTTTATAAGCTTGGGGCTGCATTGGTAATACCACCGTCGATGATTGGGGTTCTTCATAATCTTTCAGTTACTTTACCAAGGACTGGGAGTGTTGTATGGCAAATCTCTAGAGGTGTCATTCTGTGAAAGATCTGGAGAGAGAGAAATACAAGAATGATTGAAGGTATCTATTTGTCGGTTGGAAAAATTGTGGAAAAAATCTTGCATTCCATCTGGTTGTACCTCTCTGTTACGAGTTGTAGACAGAATATTTCTGAAGTGGATGTGAGATGCAATTCTTTTAACCTTTTCTATTTGGGTTTCCAAAAGTGTAGGCCCAAAGGCAGATGGATGGTCCCACCTTTGAGGGTTTATAAGCTCAACTTTGATGGTAGCTCATTGGGTAACCCGGGTCTTATTGGTTTTCGAGGGGTTCTTCGGGATTTGATGGGTAATGTGATCTTCTCTTATGCATGGCCACTTGGGGTACGGACTGCGAATTATGCAAAAATCTTTGCTCTTCTTTTTGGCCTTCGTTCCCTTGTGGAGAGGAATTTGGGGACTTCTTACATTATTTGAAGGGGATTCCCTCAATGTTGTGAAATGGTGCAAAGGGGATCAGAAACTTCTTTGGGAGTTGAAATATTTGTTATTTCAGATTTTGGATCTCGCCTCCTTTTCTGCCTCTTTTGTTCATGTGCATAGGGAGGTTAATGTACTAGTTGATTCCCTGGCCAAAGGAGATTCTACCCTCTTTGAAGCCGTTATTTTGGATTCTCTAACCTCGTTCTAGATTAATAATATCTTTGAATTTTCTCTCAAAAAAAAAAGACGTGGGTTGCATTAGGCAAAAAACCAGTGTAAACCTTTGCCATTTTAAAATCAAGTCTTGACCCAAACCTCAATTGGGTCAACCCAATGCATCAACAAGTCCAGGGCCAATTAGCACCCCCATATTGACCACTTATTGGAACTTAATATATGAAATTTTTAAGCTAGAGACGAAATCTATGGGATAAAATTGGTGTTTATTTGCACTTGACTCATTTCATGCCAGAGATATCAATCTAGAAATTCTAACGTAACGTCCCACTCTCCATTCCTACTGTTAACATATATCAAAAAAATATCGATCTACAAATTCAACTGAAAAAGATATGCGATCATGAAACGAAATAAATTGCCTCGTACATGTTGATCCTATAATGCAACATCAATTAGTCAGGGCCTTTAAATAATTGAGTAATTATTTTAAAACAAATACTTGTTGGAATGTTGTTGAGGTCATGGTGGTAACGTGATTGAGGTCGTGGTGGTAACACTATTTGATCCTCAACTACTAGTAGAAGTTTTCATTTACACTGATAAATTTGAAAACCTCTTTTTTTAAAACAGGTAAAGCCTGTATTCCCCACGAACCTACCCAAAAAAAAACACACATACGCACCTTGCTTACTTTTAAGGCCTTAGTTATAACAAGATCTTTTTCTATGCCAAAACTTCAACTTCAACTCAGTTACTAAGGAAGAATCAACCACTTCCGGACCTCGGTTCTCATTTTTTTTTTCTTCCATTGCAATCTTAAACAGCACCCTATCTTTAAGATCTACATGCACTCATCTACATTATTATTATTATTGACAAAACAGAAACAAAAAAAACTTTATATCATTGGAGAAATGAATAAGAAGACATTCAGAAAATATGAATAATTTGGGGAAAAGGGAATTGTCCCAATTTGTAATGTATGACAAGCATAAAATGTAAGGAAATTTATCAAGAGATTAACTATTCATTATTTTATCCGATTTGGAACGATTTCAACTCAAGACCGCGTAACTTTTATGGGTATTTTTTAAATTGAATTAAACAATATAAAAAAATGTCACTTATAAATAATTTGATTAATTTTCCTAAAATAAAAACATTAGTTTGAAAGAGAGGAGGAGGGAGATGAAAGCATACTACAAACAAAACTTGCTTTAGTTTAGTGATTGTAGCTATCCATGTTAACCTTTTGGCCATTTTTAGTAGTATTTTTAGATTTTGAAAATCGAGTCAATACTAGAACGGATTGGGATGCTTTACCTCACTACTGGGGACCAAAGACTGGACTCGATGAGTCATGGGCCCTGCTATGAAAATCAGACATGAGCATCCATACAAAAAAAAAAAAGGAAAAAAAGTATTGACACATATGATGTCCAAGTAGGAATGCAATTAATTTTGAGATGATATGACAAATTTTTTGTCAAATTGGGGGCCAGGACAGATGTGTTTCCCTAAAAGCAATGTTTCAAAACTCAGATGGTGGAGCGGATCATTCACTTATATATCCATGTCAAATCACTGTAATGATGATCCATATCATGTTTGAATCAGTCTAAATCAGTAATCTAAAAAATATTAAAAATAAATTAAACAAAATAAAAATCGATAGGGTTTACATGGTGGGGATTTAGAAAGGATCAAAGATAATATAAGATAAAACTTCAAAAAATAAAAGAATAAATAAACAAGATTTTATTGGAGAACCGTGCCGAGACCCATACCATAAGGAGCAGGTTCGGTCCTGACTGAATTGGTGATCCTGATTGAAAATCATCGGGTTCTAAACACTGCCCAAGAGTGAATACATATATAGGATTTTTTTAGAATGTCATAATTCTCATTGCATCATCTCTCATGGAGAATTGGATTAAATTCCCATTTATGTACATTTATAAACTAGTGCTTCAAGTGTCGGCATACGAGGTAAATTTTTTCTAGCAATGGGTTTTTGTAACCTTGGATGAACTTTTGAACAACTCGATCTTCTCGACATTCATTTTGATCATTTCTTCACATAAATGATCTCATACTTAACTATTTAACCCCTCATCGCTCATGTGTGTTTATCTATCATCGCGATCATCTATTTGCCTTTGGCACTTAACAATTAACAATGTAATCAGAATCTACTTGGTTTTTTCAATTTCTCTTCCTCTGTGTGACTGCAAGTCTCGGTCGTTTTTCTAATGCAATTCACATGGGCAATTCTCTCATTCCATTGAAAAAGTTCAGGTTCTTGGTTTTACTGTATTTTTTATTCATTTATTATGGCTGATTTTTGCAATAAATATAACAAAATATCCTAATAGCATAAAGAATTGCATACTATGAGACAATTTATCTTTGATACAAAAAACACATACTCTTTAACCATTAGATGCCTAATTGGATGGCTTGAGGTGATTTACGAAATTTGAAAATTTATTTGAAATTTTAAAATTAATAACACAACCACCCGATTTGAAATAAACAAGAATTATGAGACAATTTATCGTGTTACAAGGAAAAGAGATCCCAAATACTCTTACCTATCAAATGTCAAATTGGATGGCTAGAGATGTATTTGAGAAATTTATTCTGAATTTCGAGTTCAATAACACACAGCCACCCGATTTGAAATCAAGTGGACAAGAATAATTGTCCTCCCTATACTAAAAATAAATTTCTTTGTATACTTTAATAAATGATCTCTGTGTATACCTTCTCCATAATATAATGGTTGCATCGCTACTCAAAATAGTAATGTATAATCTTGAGCTATTTGCCCCTCCACACATTCTTGGGTTCTTTGGTCATGAAGATAATACATAAATATCGAATAACACCATCTGCCTAAAACATTTATTCTTCAAGATACATACACATTGATAAACAAAGCTTATTATTCACAAATGAACACTCAATAAACAAGAATACACTAAACAAAGCTTCAGCACAAACACATATCGGGTTCATTGTCTAAGCCGTCCCATATAATAAGCACATGGCTCACCAATATTACTCTTTTTTTTATGAAAAATATTACTATTTTTTCCCTCAATATTACTATCGATTTTATGTTACTAACCATATATGAACAAAGTAATACTTTCATTTCCATATGTTTTCCTCCAAGACAATAATGTGTGTATATATATGGCCATCAGTTGATGAATCATAGATAACAGCAACAAGCCATATATCTCACACAGCTCTTACTGCCTCTCTTCTGCTCTCTGCAATGGATGTGTCCCTGCTAGTGTGTGTAAATACACATATATATACCCTGAAGTGGACAGCTCCATCTCTCCACCATGACGGAGACTAGTGTGTGTATATATCCATATATATACCCTGAGGTTGACAACTCCATCTCTCTCACCATGACATAGACCTCTCCTCTCTCTCTCTCTCTCTCTCTCCCTCTCTCTCTCTCTCGCCAATGCAAAAGCGAGCTAGTGCTACCCCCCCCCCTCCCCTCTTAGTGAGCAGCACCTCCAACCATCCCTCTCTAAGCAACACGTTCTCACAATTCCCTAATGTTCTTTAACATTAATTAAATTTGACAAAAAACAGGACACCATTTCCAAGTTCAAATCCCTATGGGAATCGATAAAAACCAAGTCCATCACAAAGCAAACTTTTATTGATCACATTCCTACAACACCTCAACAGCATCTCCAAAGAATCAACCACAATTTACAGCAGCAAAAAATAACCAGAAGATAAGAAAGAAGGGAAGGAAAAAAACAAAAAATAAGACAACCAAAAATGAAATTAACCGAACCTTCATGCTGAGGACACGGACTGACTTTGATGAATTTTCCCATTTGAGGGACCAAAAACCCTAAAAAACAATATTTGGGGTTTCTTTCAATTACAACTATGTTTATGTACAAGTAACCAACCACGTGCCTGCACAGTTAATTACAGAGGCAAACATGGAGCATTCAGAAAGGCATCCGAAATTTACCAGATCAAAGAACCCCTTCAACCTTTCCTTTGTGAAGCTTTGGCTCTCACATATACTCACGGGTTCTTGTCATTAATGAAAATCTTGCGGGAATAAAACTCTACACACCAAATGACTCATCAATTATCATTTCCTGCACAGTGAAAACATTTAAGATCCATGAAAAGCTTCTTAGTTTCGCATTTCCACAATGAAAAGGTTTATTTCACTAGAAAGAGAAATGAATGAAGGCAAAGAAAAACCGCATAAAATCCAGAAATATAAATTAAGCTGGGATGAAATATGGATAGTTCTATTTCCAAAGAATAAGAATCCAATGATTTCATGAAATCACAATCAAAACGCAATAATTTTCATTACTGCAACCTAAAGGCAGGTTTACTTACCAGGAAAGTACACCATAGTCGTCCTTATATGTGTTATAATTATGTATCAGGGGCACATACACATCTCAAGATGGTTTGGTGGCAATGATAATGTTCCTAATTCTGGATATTCAACTTGGAAGTACAGTTCATCCTTATCATTCATATTGGGGCCAGTTGCTGGATGCCTCCTGTGTTCTATGTACCATAAACAATATCTGTAAGGTACACAATACCTTATATTCTCAGAGAGAAAAAGGCTAAAAATATCACTGAGACACTTGTATATGTGATTCCACAAGGGCAGAAGCCCCGCACCTAGTGCATAGCCTTGGTACTTCCTTTTCCTTTTTCTTTCTTTTTAATTAATGGAGATTGTTGGCCTCAATGTTTTCTTTCCACAAGATCTCTAACTCACTGATGATGGAGATTGACACCCTTAATATAGTGAAGAGAGAGTCGGCTTTTCCTCAGAGGCTGGCTTGTTCTAGGAAAGAAATGTTTGATTGGTACCATAGGGAACCTGTTTCTCTCAACCGTATGACTCACAAGAAAAATAAGTTTGCTCTCTTTTCTTTTGGGTAGCTCAGCACTTCAAGTAGAAATTGGAACATCGTGTTGCAATCATCGATGCCTTAAACCAACCAATCAAGCCCAAGCCCGACTTGTATGATTGCTGACTCTTATGGAAACAAAAGCATGAGTAGTCTCCTTGGCGACTGTAAAACCTCCCCTTGTCCTGATACTTTTCATTTTGGACATCTATGTACACCTATCCTTGTTTAGTTATGCATTTTTTGCTTGTCTTCGACTTCTGCTCAAGTTCTAATATTGTTTTGCACCTTTATATGCACCTATGTTTGCTGCACATGCATATATTGAACTAATACAACGATACGACACTTATAAACATTGAATGAAAAACTGCCAGATCTAACCGGTAACCGCGCGGTTAGATTGGAACCGGCCCCTTGCCGGTTCCGGTTTCGGGTGGTTTTGGTGATCAGCCGGTATTTTAAAAATAAAAATTCAAAAAAATGTCTATAAAATCCCAAAAATAAGGAATTTGGTTTGTAATACATTTTTTAATATTTTTTACATTATGATAAATATTAAAAATTGTTTTGGTCATTAATACTTACTTTTAAAATCCATTTTTTCATCAATTTTCAACTTCATTTGAATGTGTTTTGTTTTAATCATTCTTTATATGCCTTTCATATTTTAATAGATATTTTTTTGCATCTTTTTTATTTTTTTCAACAATTTTTTGCCGCCAGGGACTTGCCCAGTTAGAACAGTTGAATCAACTGGTTTACCGGTTAGGCCGGTTAAACCCGCTTCTGGCCCCATGTCCAGTTAACCATTCCAATTCGATTTTGCGAACACTGCTCATAAATAAAGTACCAATGATTCAAATGCTCTCCAAAGTGAAGAATGGTTTGCCACACGTGTATATTGAACTAATACATCGAAATGACACTTATAAACAAACAATTATTCAAATGCTCTCCAAAGTGAAGAATGGTTTAGGGCACGCCTACCTTGCCCTGGCTTGATAGAACCATAATTATCAGGAATGGGAGCGAGGGGAGTTCCGAGACCAGAAGCAGGAATGTGGGAGAGAGGGAAGCTCGATGATTAGTAATTGTGGAAGGACCTCCATACATTGTGAGGTAGAGGGATCAAGATCCCAGACATTAAGGGAACCTGTTCCATAACTACCTAGGAGAAAATGCTAAACTGGAGGGGATCGTAGTCCGTTGAGTTTAGGATTGAGGCTCCAAAAGATATATAATTCCAATTCAAACGCAAATTCTATTATATAATTATTTAAGCTAGTTTCACTCTAAAAAATTACTCGTGGATCTATTACAAAAATTGCACACCTACCTACATTAATCTGCTTAAGTAGCAGACAACCTCATTTTTGCCACCAATGGGGTTGGATTGGATGAGTCTCTCAAAACTATAGATTGATGAATATATTTAAGAATGCTGCTATAGATTGTTGTCAAAAAAGGCATGCTGCGATAGGTAAGCTTTCCTGTGGTTTAAAAAACAAAGGGATAGACATTGTCACATATAATTCTCAATAGTTCCTGTCCATCAAAGATTGCTAGAGGCTCAAGGACATAAGACAAGAGAGACCTCACATTCCAAGCATATATGTTATTCCATCACCCAAGAGGCAACCCTATCAGGCTCAATTTAGGGTGGACCAACAATCAAGGGATAGAAGTCCTTCGAGAGGTGGACAGGGCCTTAAGGAAGTTAAGCTTATTGATTGCAACCTCTTCCTTGATTAGAACTGCAACTCAGCTATCTTTTTTTTTGATAAAGTTAACATTGTGTTGCTGTAAGGAGAGAGAGTACAAAGATGCGGGGGGGAGGATGGGACTGGGAGTACCCACGAGATGGGTCTCTCAATCAAAAAATTGGTCCAGCAGCCTTACACAAAAATTGACCTTGGGACCTTCCTTATTACAGAATATGTACTTGTATATAACAAAAAATGGGGCTTATAAGAGTGCCTGATTACAAGAGGAGTAGAGATGTGACTAATTACACTCCTAGGCTCCCTCTGTGGTCCAGAGCAAAAAAGGAGATGGACCAAGCGGGGTCTTCAGCACAGGCCCGTGCTCCGTCTTTAGCGAGCAGATCAGCGAACTCGTTCGAAGTCCGCCAAGTATGCCTCCAAAAGACGTTCATATCCCTGCGTATGAAATCAATTTCATCAAAAATCATAGGTACCAAGGAGGTGTTGTAGTGCCTTCAGCCCAGGAAATGATATTTTTGGAGTCTCCTTCCACTACCAAGTTTGGGCCCCATGAGGGGTCAAAATTTTTGAGACCCATAAGAAGAGCCATGGCTTCTGCAAACTAAGAGTCTTCCTGCCCCAAGTATTTTGAGTTGGTAAAAAGGACATTGCATTTATGACCACAAAAGACACCTCCAGCTCCAACCGGGCCCGGGTTACCCAATGAACAACCATCGAAGTTGAGTTTTATGGCACCTTCTGGAGGAGGCTGCCAGTTGTGAGGTCTTTGGGTCTTATGTGGCTGGAGGTAAAGAATGTTCTCCCATTGGCTGAGAAACGTATTTGCTGGGATCCCCAAAAAAGCCCTATGATTCGAGGCCCAAAAAGTTACTAGGGTTGTAACCTTATGCCCTTGGAAGATCCTCTCGTTCCTTTCTAACCAAATTACCCAGATGGTTGCAGCAATGGCGGACTTCCACAAAATTCTACCGGCTATCAGCCAGTGGCACGCGTAGAATGAAGAGATGAGAGCCTTGACCGAGGGTGGGGTGACCCATTGAACGTGGAACAGCTGAAGCACCATGCTCCACAGGTCATAGGCAAGACTACGATGAATGAAGAGGTGAGGGTTCGATTCCTCCTCACTCATACACATGACACACCTATTGGGGAGTGGAATGCCTCTTTTTTTAATCTGGTCAACTGTGAGAGCCCTTTGACAAGAGGCAATCCAATTGACGCCTGAACTTTTGGTGGAGCCATGGTGTGCCAAACCTTGGACAGGATGGAGATAGGATTAAGACCGAAGGTAGGAGGTTGGATGAGTTTTTTATAAAAAGAGGCCACTGAAAATGAACCGGATGGAGTGAGAGTCCATACCAGAGCGTCCTTCCCAACCGGAGCTAAGAAAAAGGTGTGCAAAGCTGCCGAAAGACAGATGAAGAGTCTCGTTTCCTCTTCAGTGAGATTCCTTCTGAAAGTGGGGTTCCAAACTCTTCGGCCCCCTGAGAGGACCATTTCTTCAGCTATGGTGGAATCTTTGTTAGAGGCTAGATGAAAAAGCGATGGGAAGAGGTTCCTAAGAGGAGTGTGGCCTATCCAGAGGGCAGACCAAAATCGCACTTTTGTACCTTCTCTAGGATGGAGACGAATAGATTGTTTGAACAGAGAGAGAGGTGGCAAAGGATTTCCAAGCTCCAGAGCCCCTACTCCGGGAAATCAGGTCGAGCACCCACTTATGTTCCGGAATCCTATATTTATTACGAATAACCTGGGCCAGAGGGAATTAGTTTAGGTGGCCAATCTCCACCACCATTTGCCTCATAGAGTCTGGTTGTGTTTTCTTAGGTCTCTGATTCCTAGACCTCCTTGAGGTTTAGGTAGTCAGACTCTATCCCATGAGATTAGGTGAAACTGCAACTTAGCTATCTTTCCTATCTCCTTCTGTCTTCTTCCAATTCCCGCTGCCACATTCCTCAACAATTGGCAAACTCTACTCTATACCTGCTCTCTAAGCCCATCCTGGGTTCATCATTGGATCCCACCTCCTCCAGGCCAAACCAAGTTCAATTTCGACGGGTGCCCCCACGAGAACCCCGGTCCGGCAGCAATAGGCAGAACTTTTAGGGACCACGATGGTCTTATTTTGGCCTCCGCCTCCAGCCAGATAGGCCACGCTGACTGCCACCTAGCGGAATCCATGGCCCTCCTTACTAGCCTAAAGCTCATCGACTCCTCCTGGGGTCAACCGCTGATTATCGAAGGAGACGCCCAAAACATTATTACCTGGGCCACCAGATCCAAACCTGCCCCTGGTACCTCACCCCAGTTTTTGACGAAATTACTCATCTTTGCAGGGATATGGTCGTCTTACGGAAGCATTCCTGGCGGGAATCCATGCCCTGCCAAACACCCTAGCTAAGGATGGAGCCCAAAACAGCGCCACTTCACTATTTGAGTCTCTCTTTTTGTATCTTTGTACTTTTGTTTATAATTACTAGGTTACCC